TGATTATTTATAAAAGTACACTGTAATCGACTATGTAATCATGATTACAGCTGTAATCAAACTTTGTAATCATGATTACAAGTAATTGAAAAATGTAATCGATTACATTTTCGCTCTACTCTGATGAAATCAAAAATTTTGATTACCTGTAATTGTGATTACAAGTAATTGATTACATAGCTGTAATTATCTGTAATCAATTACAGTTGTAATCGATTATTGTAATCGACGGCCAACTCTGGTGCATACATAGAGACAATACAGAAAATTATAAACATGTAACAAACTTATTCCTACCTACAAAAACTTTACATGGTAAATATTTTGTTACATCAAAAACAACAATAAGCAGACTTTCAGGTAGATATGCAATAACTGGGGTGAAAAATTTAATAGTTTCTCTTTTATTTAAAGTAACACATATACTTGATAGAGGTAGTTAACTTATTTAATGCTTCACAATATGTAAAAAAAGCTTTAACTGTCGAGTTAAAAATATGTAAGCAGGCAACAAAAGATAAATAAACACTTACATAAATTTTATTTCATTAAAATTTACTTGCAAAAATGTTCAAACAACTCTAGCTGAAGGAGGTAATGCCATTCATATCCCCTTTTGACTAAACTTCTGATCGAAGGTCAACCTTGCAGTTTTCCTCGGCAAGCTTTCCCATGTATGTGACAACTTTTTAAGTACAGATATAATCGTTTATTTTGTTAACAGAAAATGCCTGATAATGATACAAATAATTTCATATATCTTATTTAGACTGAATTCTTCTTCTGCATAAGAAGACTTGAAATGTTTGTGAGTTAATGCATGTATTTAAGTGCTACACAAAAACATTTAAAAAAAAAATAGTTAAAAGCACTTAATTAAATAGTAATTACTTTATACTGGAACCACGGACAGCTGAACCATAAGTCACAATGTCAGGCTTTACTCTGCCATATCCAGCCGGAAGTTCCTGAAATATATATTTTATTATAAAAAAGAAAATTTCAATAGTAAACTTAAGAACGCTGTATTTAATTTAAAATACGCTCATGGCTAGAAATTAACGGTGTTCCATAGGTCCAGGAGCACAATAATTTGATTCAAACTATCATAAAATAATTAATGGTTTCCCAGACTACCTATCAATATAAAAGAACGATATGCTGTTTTGGATTTTTGTTTTCTAGTTTTGTCTTTTGGTCTGCATTATTCTCACAAAGTAGCACATTTCATCATAATTGTGAGCCTTTCACAATATTTGTATTGTAATTTTTTTGTATATTTTATATTTTTTAGTTGCTCGTTTGTAGACCAGTGATAAAATTTTCCTAATTTCTATCCATGTATGCTAATCAAAGTAAAAAAAAGTATTCATGAAATAACTGTTATCACAATAAAAAATATTTCAACCACCCCTTTTCATCAATATGAATTTTTAATTGAATACCAATTTTAATATGAAATAACAATAGAGATTTTCACTGTTTTCTGCTTTAAATTCAGGGCCGTCATTATTTGAAAAATTGCACTTGAGTGTATGTATATGTATAACATCAGAATACTTATCAAACTGAAACATTAAAATTGAGTAAAAATAACACTATTTGTAGAAGCTTTGACCAGTGTTCTTTAAAAATGTTAAAACAATTTTTAAAAACTTCTGCAGCCAGCTACGAAACAATTTCCATAATAATCTCTATCTTCTGTATCTGGATGGTTAAGCAGCATGGTTAAGTGTGAATGTTTTGTTGATGAGAAAGAGCGAACAAAAAGCTTGACTCCTAACATACTTTAAAATTGCGTACATTAATACAATGATATTGCCTTTATGAAAAAATTCACATGTCAGTTGACTACAAAAAAAGAAAAACTGATAAATTCAAACAAAAAGACTGCCAGCCATAGATTAAAAAAATCATAAAAGATAAAAGCCAATGTTAAAATTCACTAAAATGTATTATAACTTATTATAATTAGTGAATTTTAATATTAGTCCTTATCTTTTATTAACATTCTACAATTTTTATTAATAATTAAAATATATATAATCTCAAATAAAGATATTACCCATGTGGTCATGCCTCTGGAAGAAAAACGTGCAATTTGATCTTCAAAATTAATGCCCCCAACACCAATAACATCCATTTGATCCGCAGGATTATTTAATGTGCTATAATAAATGATTGATTTCATGCATAAGAATTGTAATATTTTTAAATCTATTGAAGTAAAGACATTAATTTAAAACTACAATGGAAACAAATTGACAACAGTGTATGAAGGTTCAGCTAATTTTCCTACACTCTTCAACAAAATTTTTTAAAGAAGAATAGCATAAATAAATGGCTCTGTCTTATAAATAATATCTGTGAATATTCATTTAAAATCTGTCACAATTGAAAATAAGAATAAACATCTCATGCGTCTTGTCTCATTAGTAACAAAACCAGTTCTTTAAAAATATGTATTACCTTCTAAATTAGGAACATTATAATAGCAGTGACTAACTAACTTGGAGTAAAGTGAACACATTTCTGAAATATGTTTAAGCATATTTCTGTGATAAAAACACCATTTACAAAACAGTAGGAGAAGTGCTTTCACATGGTTGCCATAAAAATCAATATATTCACTTGGACAGAGCTGATGGTAGTTATCAGTTGTTAAGAGGTTTTTATTTTACTTATGTTTTTTATTCCTCATTTTTTATATTTATATATTTTAGCTAGATTTTTTGTTCATATTTCGAACATAAAATGTTAAATGCTACTTATTTATACGAAAAAATATTTTTTTAGCAATAAAAATAAACCAAATATGGAACATAGTTGTAAAAAACAATAAAAAATATCAAATAAAAAAAATTCCATATTAACATAAAATTTTATAATCTTCCCCATATATACTTTATTCCACTAAACTTTCTTCCAAACTAAACTTCCCCTATTCCACTAAACTTTAATAAAAAAAAACAAAAAACTTTGCAAAGTATGTCTCACCCATAAAGTGGTCCGTCATTTCCAATTGCAGATACCATAATGACATTATTAGCTGTAAGTTCCCACACCTATAACAAGCATAACATTTGTGAAAAGGATTATCTATTACTAAAACAATTTACCAAGAAAGTATAGAATTGTTTGGATAAAAATATATAAATCTCAAATAAAATGCTCTCTATTACTTACTCTAACTCTAAAAAACTAATTCTAGTCCTGATTTTTAATTTCAATAAACTAATTATATTCCTGAATTCCTTATTGAAACTTTAAGGAAATAGATTTTTGTCCTCTTTAAACAATAAATTAGAGCTCACTAAAATACAAAAATAGTTCAATATATAAAAATATTGAAACATCAAGTAATTCTACAAAATATGTTAAAAGTAATTTTCTGCAATATACAATACGCTTGCAGTAAAATATAACAAATTTAGACAAGTTTTATTTTAAAAATATTTCTGAAATTTGTCTTGCATCAAAACATAAACCACACATTTTTTAACGTTTTTTTTTTCTTAAATTTTATTTCTAATGGCAAGGCAATACAAAGAAATAACTAAAACAACAAATTCAGAATAGAACAGATGGCATAAAAAATTGACCAAAGTCATTTCCTCATTAAAAGTTCTCTTGCACGCCAATACAGTGCCGTCTCAGAGTCGCCATGGAGTGATGAGCGACGGTGGAGGTGGTCTTTATTCACAGGCTCTGCCAAATTACATAGGGGGCTGTTTGGATGGTGACAAATCCCAATGCGATGAAGATGTTCTCGTAAACAGTCATGTCCGGTCAAAAGACGGAATTTTGCAACAGCTTCTCGACATGGAGAATCGGTAATGGCCATAAGATCACCAACTCTCCACCGTTTTGACTGCAAACAGTCAAGTAGTTGAACTTTAAAATTTTTTATCATAATCTGCTTAATATACAACTTTATAGAATGATACAATATTTTTTAATATCTTGAGTGAAGCAATCTCAAGCTCTTCTTCGCTAGGAAATCAGCCTGCTTGTTTCCATAGACAAGTGTTTTGAAATGTGTCTTGCATCAAAAATATACAAAATAATCATGAATGATGAAGAAAAAGAAAATTTGATTTATATATGATATTCAATTTTTGTACTATGAATTGTGTTCAATGTTTTTATTTATTTACTTATATATTTATTTATTTATTTTACTTATTCACTAAATATTCTTTCATGAAAAATGTTTTCTGTGTTTATTATCATCATTACAAGAAACTCTGGGATTATCTACTGGAACGTAATCAAATTTGCAATTTGGTTCTAAAACAAAATATTGCAGTAAAATTTTATATGATGCCCAATATGAGTCTTTTTGCAACAATATTTTATCCACATCACATAATGTTCTGTCTATGTGAGATCTCAGTCATGAAATTATGACCTACCAATCTTTGTTATTAATGGCTGGTGATAGGGAAAAAAAGTTAAATTTATTAAATAATTTTAATGATTAGTACTGGCTGAGGTGCCTCTGACTTCTAAGCGTAATTCTGAGTTAACAGGATTTTCTAAAATTTATATTTGTACTGCTTTTATAAACAAGCACAAGATTGTTAAAATTATTCCTTTTTGTACTGAGTTACAGGATGTAGAGATCTAACGTCTTGCATAAGCATATTGTCATGACTACACCAATGTCATTTAAAATAAAATTAAATAAAGCTAACAATTGAAGAAAAAAATAGCTTCAAATTTATTTAAAAATCGATTGTTAATTACGATTCTGTAAACTCGGGAATTCATAGTTTGCTTGATAGAGATTTAAAAAAATAAAAAAAACTCCCAAAAAAGGGTTTTTAAATGAATAACAATTTAATTAACATATAGTGTGATAAAATATATAATTAACTCATTAACTTTTTGTCAGAAATGACTAATGACACATAAAAAATCAATACTTCCTTTTTGTTAATACTAAAAGAAGTTTGTTTTCTTGTTTGGAATTTAATTACTGTAATTTTTTATATAAATAGCAAATCCTGTTTCACACTATATTGGAAATAGAAGTAGCTTAGTTATAAAGGCACCTATTGGTAAAGATTAATTTATTTAATTAGACAAATTTTTACAATGAAAAATGTTCCCTTTCTGACAAGTTATCCTGAAATATACACTTCACAAGCAGAGGATTAAAATATGAATTTTAACATTATGAACATAAAATACAACAAAAGTTGCAAATATTTTGTACTACTAAGGATACTTTACATAAAATAAGAAAAAAGATGCGATTTTAGGAATAATTTATTAAAAAATATTTATAATCTATAGAGATTATTTATAATCTAAGAAGAATTATTTATAATACTAAAAGAGACATTTTGGTATAATAATTTGAATCTAACAACTATGCACAATAAAAGATTTTTTAGCATAAAATAAATTAGATGAGGCTTTAAATTTATTTGCATTATCAAATTATATCTTTTAAAGTAAAACAGAAGTAAGTGAAGAAAAAAAGTTACTTTATCAACAAATGGATGATCCATAAAATCAGGTCCTCCAATACTCAAGTTTAAGACATTTATTTTCTTAAGAATAGCATAGTTAAAAGCATCTAAAAACCATGATGTATATGAAACCTGAAATTTCAAGAATTTTAAATTTAACAAACTTTAAAAATACAAGCATTTAAAAAATATAATATCAACACATGATACAAGGTTTCAACAAATTGTAATTAAATATTTTGATAAAAGGTAACAAAAACTTCCATTTTAAAACATTAACATCGTAATTTTTTTAGCATACTAAGAAAATTACAAACCTGATTATTTGTGAAAACTCTATAAATATGAAGTTCAGAATCTGGGGCAAACCCCAAACATTCTCGATTACTTGCAATCACACCGGCAACAAATGTTCCATGGCCTAAACCTATAAAAAGAAAAGTTCATGAATTCTTAATAAATTAGTTTTTAAAAGAATAATTCTCTGTAGTTTATACAAGCATTGTACAGTAGCAATCATTAGTTTATGACTGGTACAACTGATACACCAGAGTAACATGTATTATCCTAGCCTTGTACCCTGTACCAAGCTTATTATAGGTCATAAGCAACCTTTTGCTTATGACTGATACATCTAATACACCAGAGTAGCATGCGTTATCATGCTAAGCACCATAAGCATAAGGGTATTGTCATTGAAATTATCGATTTTGTATCCAAATGTTTCTGTTTTTGTTGCTTATCCTCTTGGTTTAGGCTCCTAAATCAAGTCTAAGAAAGCATATCCCATCAACAAGTTGCAAATGATCTCACCCTCATTCATTCAAGAGTTGCCTCCCCAGAACCACTAATACCAGTGGTCATTCCAGACTTTTGATGAAAACTCCTGTTTTTATGAAATTCTTAAAAATCTATACATAATTTCAGAAATCTAAAATAAGCACTTAATCAGATTCCTTTAACTAGGTTAAGAAGTGAATTTGCGAAAAAAATATTTTTTTTGTCCTTGCGTTTGGAAAATTATTGTGATGATATTGATAAAAATAGCAAAAAATAATGAAAAAATATAGTGAAGGATTTATTTGGTCCTTTTGATAATAAAATGTTCTATGAAGGATCCGTTTTGACAAAGGCAGTTTTGAAAATAAAATTTTTTGAGGAGGGTCTGTCTTCATGACAATCTATAATGTGAAGTGTCCGATAATGGACCCAAATTGCTCCTAAAATGATCCCTAAAAACAATCAATGATAGGAAAGAGGTTGACACAATGGCTGAGCAGTAACATTTGGCATATGTCTCCTCCATTCCATGGAAGGTAAAAATTTTCATGAGGAAAGTCTAAGCCTAGATAAAGTGGTTTGAGCAAACCTGGGACAGAAGAACCACAGAGACAGTCAAGGACACTTAGTGGTGTACCATGCATGAACTGAGGGAAACTTTGAAAGGGCATTTGTTTTGGCAAAAAAACAGAATGAACCACGGAAGCTTGTAATTTGATGAGAAGACCTTCACATAACCACTCTAGCAAGCAAATCAGTTATTTCCGGTTAATTTAATCAAGCTTTGCAAAATCAGACATCTCTTTCCATTAAACAATATTTAACAATTTCAAACAACACAAACATAATTATTACTTTCCTTTATTAATTTTTAAAGTATACAGGGTGTTACAAAAGTAATGGTCACATCTGTAAAGGGTGATAAAACCTGTCATGAACAACTAACTTCTATACAACATAGGTAATTAAAGCAAGAGGGCAATTTCTCTGGAGAGAGTAAAAATGCTGCCTGACAGAACCTGACATTCATCTATTTATTGCCATATATTGGAATGCAGAGAAAGCTGAAATGCAAACAATTATCTTACAGAAGTGGTAAGACTTCAGCAGGAGGGATTTCAAGGCAGGGCACTGCCCAATCGAATGAGCATCCAAGCTGAAGTTAAGAAAATGCCAATAATCTTTCAATGTATGCACGATACAAGTGTTGCAGCTAATGGTCACTGATTAGAGCTTTTTATATAAAGTTTTCAGTAAAAAGAATTTGCCTCTTATCATTTGTCTTTATTGCATTTTCTATTTTTACCAAGCTTGCAGCTCCACATTTGGATTTCGACCCCTCACTGTACTGTTAAAGCAACTGTGAGTTAGAAAGTTATTTTTAAATGCTATAAAAATTACATAAAATTAAATTGTTAAATGGTATGTTCATAATATTAGTAATATTAATTAATGACATCTTTTTATTATGATCTATTTTATTCAAACTTTAGAGAACAGAAGTTATAATAATAATACCATCATCTAATGTTTTCTCATTAGTCCAGTTTGTACGTTCTTTAATTTTCTTGAAGTGTGGGTGATTTTTAACTAATCCAGTATCAAATACTGCAACCTTAACACCAGCCCCTAAGAGAAAAAAATTATCAATAAATGCATGTAATTCTTAACATAAAAATCAAACATTGTTGAAGAATGCTTAACAAGCTTTTTCTCCAATCCTTTGCTATGAAATATACCAGGGATGCCAATGAATTTATCCACCTGGTAGAAAATATTTTATTAAGTGATAGAAAACTGAAACTCGCAAAATTTTAGTTAATTTTTATAACACTTTATAAGGCTGACCATGAGATAACTGGCACTCATTGAAGCTTCATATAAACATTTGAATTATTTATAACTGGATTCATACTCAAAACAAAGAAATATTTTCAGACTTTTCTGTGTTGTGCATGATTCAGTGGTATGAACCCATTGGTGGCTTAGCAAGAGGGCAAAATTGGAGAATGTTTCTCTCCATTACACTATTTCCCTATCTAATAACATGGAAAAACCTGTTTTGCTATGCAGAGAAGACTGCAGATTAAAATTCGACTTTTTACGTGCAAAACCACCAGTGAGTTAATACTGATTTATTGATCATTTAATTTTCTTTCATCGCGTACCAAGAACAGATATTCATCTAGTCTAACAATAAGTTGCAAGGCTTCTTATTAACAACAAATTATAACAACAATGTTCTTAGTATATATTTTTTTTTTATTCTTAAAGTCTTTTAATTTTTCTAAAATAATCAATAACTTAAACAAATGAAATTGAACTAAATGAAAATACCAACAAAAAAAATGAAAGAGATGAAACATCTAATGGATAAATACCTCTCACTCCTATATTCCATAAAACATCAGCTTGTAAAATATTAGTGATTTGACGTGGCAATACTCTCATAAGCCGTCTCCGAACAAAATTTCCTGCTGTTTCCCACAAAGATGAACCCTGAGGAATTATTAAAAGCAATTTTAAAAATTGAAACAAAGCTAAAACATTGCTTATTATATTTTTAAAGTAAAAAAATTGTTTGATGATTCCTGTTAACAAGCCAAACGGCAGAAATATTTTTTTTAAAAACATTCACAGTTGATTTGAAATAGGATCCAAAAATAATTCTATCCAAAAAATAAATTTTAGTAAATATTTATTATTTATTATTATTTTATTTAATTATAATCAAAAACATTTTGAATTTTAAGATATAAAATTTTCACATCATTTTAAAGTATCTAATTTTTCATGTCAAAATAAAAAATTTGAGTGAAATCAATTGAATAGTTCCTGAGAAATGGAGTTTTAAATATACGACTTTTTAAGCAATAAATTTATCCTAGGAGTATTTCAATTAAATGCATTTAATCATTTCTATTTTAAAAAAAAGTTTAAATTATATAATAAATACCAATGAAAGACTAGTTCGTTTGGCAAATGGTCTAGATGAATACCACTTCAGATAACAACTTTCATTAATTCTTCCCGATTCAGCATTCCACAAGTCATTTTTTCCTGATTGAAGAAAAAACAAAGTTATAAGAATAAAATACGTATAGTATGCATTTAAATTAAAGAGAGAAAATGAAACCTTTCTTAGGATTTTTAAAAAGTATATTTTCATTTCTGAAAATTGCAAAAATTGTTTCTAAAAACATAATGACCTTAACTCAGAACTGGTCTATGATTTTCAAGTATTTTAAACAAACTTGTATGCACATTAAATACTGTAAGAAATATTAAATCAATATCTTATTTGGGTTATAGCTCCTCAAACAGTAAAACAAGCTTTACTTTTAAGAGATGCATTAAGTTGAATAGATTTTTCTAAATCTCTTTTATATGATAAAGGCTATTTCATTATTCAAAAAAATATGAGCACAAGATGCCAATACACAAGATTAATAGACGCCTATTAATAGCACAAGACGCCAATAAGGTTAATTTGTGCTATAGAAAAAGGAAAATAAACTTGTAATAATTCAAGGAAACAAATCCTGAGATGTTAGAAACCATCTTTGCCAAAACAAACAAAAAAGGAGCAATTATTGTCACTTTGGGTTTTTACATATTTTTACCATAAGGAAAGTAGAACACAAACTATTTGTTAGTGCCAAAGGTTTGGTTTTGTCAGCAGACTAAGTATTTAAGCTTTTGATTATTTCTGTGATGCAAATAACATTTTTATAAATAAGAATCGACTTAATTAGTCAGGTGGAAATCAACTAAACATAAAGGAAACTATTCACTGAAACTAATTATGAAAATAAAATGAATAAATAAGAAAAACAGCAGAGAATTGCCAGAAAGCATCTGTAGATGTAGATCAAAAAATACCTGTAGATAGTTAAAAAAATCTCAAAAATGTTTTTAAAAACAAAGTGCAAAAAAAAAATTTAAATCTTGTACTTAATTTCTTTAAAGAAAGAAGAAGAAAGAGAAATTTAAACTATAGCAAGCATTTCTCTAAGGGGAGAAAACAATTTTAATATTTTTAACCAATTATAATTGGGACTTTTTTTTTTTTTTTTTGAGGGAGGGGTAATTAAAATAAATACTTAAACATTTGTATGCACAAAATATTCCAATTAATTTCTGATTTGAAGATGGGGGAAACATATAAAAAATTCAAAAGCCTAATTTTACTTACAAATCACATATTGTGTACCCCTATCAAGAACATAACTTTCCAATGGTATTTCCCTTACAATTGTATATATTCAAAGTCAGGAAATTATTATACTTTTCTAAACTGAATAAATTCCGGGAGCATGCTAAAACTAATTTTATTCTACCTAACAAATTTATCATAGTCAAATCATGAAAGCAAAATTTAAAGTTGATTAACTACAAACTTGATTGTAAAAATTATTTAAGTCAATTAACTTTTAACCCAAATTCTGAACCATGTCATATTACTATAACTTAATTTTATTAAGTTCACAATCCTTTTATCTTCAATTTCATAATAATGAATCAACATTGCTCAGTTTCCCTCTAACTTGATTTTTCTTAATCAATGACTATCTTTTTTTCTCTTCCAATCTTATTACAGCCAAGAGATAACACCTGTGAGGAATAAATAAACTTGTTTTCTTTTGCTCATATTGTTTGCATTGGCAGCATCAATACTGTACCTGTAATATATTGGAACTTGGAAATGAAAGGATTAAAAAAGTAGATGGATGCATTCAAATTTATCTCATTCATTTCAAATCCAGCAACATCTGGATAAGCTTTGTGTTCATTATTACCTACTAGGGTAGGGGTGCACAACCTGCGGCCCGCGGGCCAAATGCGGCCCTTCGACTACTGAAGTGCGGCCCGCGAGAACACAATAAAAAAAACACAATAAAAAAAATTTAAAAAAATGGCAATTTTTAATCGCAATTTTTAAGTCATCACGTTTTGACGTAATCAATTTTAACAGATTCTTTAGTAAATGTATGTTTAACGCACTTTCTTTAAGCCAATTTTATCGTAAATATAAATGATTTTTTTAAACAGTTATTTCCCCTTTTCTATGTGATTTCGAAAANGTTAGCCAGCCTGCTGTGCAAGTGGCCCTTCACTCAAAAAGGTTGTGCACCCCTATACCAGGGTTTGAGCAGAAGTGTTCATCCTTGAAGACGTTTAAAGAGAAATTCTTTTAACTTCAAATAAAAAAAAATTAAAAAAAACCTCATTAATGATGTGACTATAAATCTAACCATGAAATGGATAGATATAATATAAATATATGGAAATATTAGGAAAAAGAAAAATATACTTAAACAATATTAATATAAGCATTCAAAACCTGAAACTAACACTATGTTAAACTGTTGATAACTCAATATTTTTTTTACTGTCCCATCACAATTGAGTAATTACGAATATGGTAGCAATAAGTTCAGCAATATTAATGGAAAACTTAATTCATTTCTCATTACTAACTATATGAAAGTAAACAGAACAACATTTCAAAACAAAAGCAAATCAATAATGATAATGTTAATGATAAACTCTTTAGAAAATAAAGGAAAAGTTTTAAGAGCTCACCATCAAAATTATTTAGAGTACGAGTAACTTTTCGCTGAGGAGTCACATGCTTGATACTATTGTGTCTTCTCAGGGCCTTAGTACCTTCATCAATAGCATTCTCTTGAATCTTTAAAATATATTGTTTTTTAGATCAGTAATTTCTTAGAAAGAAAAATAACAACATTCTTTAATTTAATGCTTATACAGCATACATGCTCTGCAATGATTGCCTTTGGTACACTATCGGTCAAAAGTTTGCCAAAATTTTGAAATCTACAAAGAAAAGGTCTAAATTCAAATGTTCATAGAACTGCGAAAAATCATTCAAATTGCATGAAATTTTGATATGTTCTAAAATAAACCCTCTACTGTTGGTTACACATGATCAAATCGCAATACTTTGTTTTTTGCGAACTGAATCCAGCTTTCCATCATGGATTGTTCTTATGGAGAAAAAATTTGTTAAGTTTGAACACTTGCCAAACTTGCAAAAAAAAAAAATTGTTCTTTCTGTTAATGGAAAATAGTTATTTGAACCGTTATATGTAAGCCCTCAAAATTTCAGATCGATTCGATTTTTTTTTTGACGAAGTTATAGAATTTTGAAAATCATGTGCACTTTTCTCGATTTTTGAGCATTCCACATAGGCAGTCTTTTGGTCTATACATCTTCTACCAAAGAACTTTTTAACTTTAATGTTATCTATATTTTCAAATAATTAATATTTATTATAAAACAAATACTCTTATTCATTATTGTAATTATTATTGTTTATATTTATTGTTGATATTTATTGCTCATATGTATTTGTTTTGTTGTGATATTTTTACTTTACATTAAATTGGAATAAAAAGTTATAACAGTAATTGCATAAATAATTCTAAAAAAATAATAACAATAGTATAAAAAATTTGCATTTTTACTAAACTATTATGTTTACAACAGGTCAAATATTTAACATATTCTTATTCGTATTTTATAATTAAATAAATTAACGTTTAAATCTTAGATTCCTCGAACCATCCACCCTTTGCTTTTATTATAGCCTTACATATGCCTGGCATTCGTTCTAGCAAACTATTAATCACTTCAAGAGATATAGAGTTCCATTCCTGTTTTAAAATGTCCCATAACTGATTTCGATTCGAAACATCAGAGCATCGTTTGCAAAAACAAATTTTCAATGAAATGTGACATCTATGAGATATTGTTTTAATTATATTCATAAAAAATTCTTTGTAATAACAATAATTACAATAATGAATAAGAATATTTGTTTTATAATCAATATTAATTATTTGAAAATATAGAAAACATTAAAATTAAAAAGTTCTTTGGTAGAAGATGTATAGACCAAAAGACCGCATATGTGGAATGATCAAAAATTGAGAAAAGTACACAAGTTTTTCAAAATTCTATAACTTCGTCAAACAAAATCAAATCGATCTGAAATTTTGAGGGCTTGCATAGAATGGTTCAAATAACTATTTTCTATTAACAGAAAATACAAAAAAAAATTTTGCAAGTTTGGCAAGTGTTCAAACTTAACAACTTTTTTCACCTTAGAAACAGCCCATGACGGAAAGCTGGATTCAGTTCGCAAAAAACAAAGTATTGCAATTTGATCATATGTAACTAACTGTAGAGGGTTCACTTTAGAACAAATCAAATTTTCATGCAATTTGAATGATTTTTCGTAGTTCTATGAACATTTGAATTTAGACCTTTTTTCTGCAGATTTCAAAATTTTCGCAAACTTTTGACCGGTAGAGTATATATTTTTTAATTTTTATTGAAAATGAAGAAAATTTAGAGTATATAAAGGTTGCAAAGTAATGTTTAAAAGCTATCAAAATCTATCTAATTACTAGTGAGGAAGTTGGAATGTAAAACAACTTAACTAGTTTGATTACCTGGTGAAACTTAGAGGCATTTCTAAGAATCAACTTTCAACTTCTGTCAGTTTTCTCTGACAATCAAACAGACATTTATATTTCGGTCACATCTTTCTCAGTAGTGATTCATAAGATTCAGATTCCTAACTTAAGTATTAAATAACGATCCATTGTGTTTATATTTTTATCGTCAAAAGTACTTTTACTGTAAAATATTTACATGACTATAAAATACTTTTGAAATATCTCTACTTCATTACGTTTAGGAGACGAAATTTGTTGGAAAAATTAATTTATACCTGTGTTCAAAATGATTTTGAATAAAAAAATGGTGGCTAAAATATAAGGAATTATTAAGAAGTATTGATTCGTATTTATATGAGCCAGTTAGTCATGCAGAAAATTTCTTGTGAATTTGTTCTTTCAACTTCCAATTTTTTATGACTTTCTTGACAGTGAATATTTAATTTAGAAAATGCAAGGAATTTATAAAATATTTAAGATTTTTAAAGTTATTACTGCTCTTTTATTTTTCATCCTTTATTTATTTATTTCCCCCCTAAGAAATAGAAATGATTTCTTTCCATTGAAATAACATCAAGTATTCTTTTAGTGTTTCATGAGTATACATTCACCTTTGGAGGTATGACCAATGTGATAAGTTAGCTATTAATCTTAACGGATAGATTAAAGGAAAAAAAACCAGCTGCTTTTGAGCATCAGGTATAATTCTTATTGACGCTCAGCCATAGGAGCATTTTCATTGCTTCCCTTGACAGACCTGCAAAGATTTGCACCTATCTAATTTGAAAAATTAGTTTGGTTCGAACCTTGTTTCTTTATAAAAAGTAGTTGCCAAGAATTGCAACAAACTACTGTTTTTTTTTTATCCCACTACTCATTAGGCTACTTTTTTTAAAAAGTAGTACACCACACAAGGAACCAGGAAAAAAGTAGCGACTACAGTAGTTACTCTAATTGTAGCATTCTACTTCAAACCACAGATGGAAGTAATAATTATGCACTAAGTGTTTTCACTATCTCAGCAATTTTGAATAAAAAAAGAAGAGAAAATTTGCTAGTTTATTATTTTTCTTTAGATTACAAACATTAAAAAACTTTAAAATATGTCAAAACAATTATAATTTCTTTCTATTTCTTTTTGACAATTTTAATCAAATTGTCAAAAAGAAAAAGACTGATGAAGTGATACCTAATGATAAAATTAACATTTCTTAAAATTTTGTCAGCATTTTTAAAGACTCTAAGCAAAGTTCATATGTTTGAATATTCCCTTTTTTTTTACTTTACAAAACCATAATTGAAGTCAGAGTCAAGTTTATAAAAAATCTGGAGTTAAAATGGACTATTTCAACCACTTATTCCCACAACCCATGCACACTGAACAGTCAATTTTAGTTACACATTAAAACATTATAAGTCAAAATAACAAACCTAAACAAAACTATATTTAAACTAATATTTAATCACAGAAAATGATGAAAAAGTCAATGTTCGATTAGAACAAAACTAATGTTAAAAACTACCTGCAAAACTTCAAAATCACTAGGAAAATTGCTGGCAGGATTGTTACGAGGTAAAATTTGCCAGCTGTCTGAGCCAAAGCGATGCAAAGCTGTCCTGATAAACTTTAGTCTTGTATCTTGATTATAAAATTTCTTAAAACTCACAATGAATTCTAGGAAAAAAGTAGTTCATAATTAAATAAATATTTAATTGATATAATTTAAACATATGTTTTAAAAAATTAACAACACAATGTAATAGTTACATAAATTCGGTGAATTATTCTAATACTAGTGGGCTGTGCCCCCTGCTCGCTAACGGTCGCCAACCCCCGAAAATTGCTACAATTGCTCAATTCCTTAACTTGAATGAAGTTTGGAGAAACCTCTCACTCAACAGGGGGTTGAATTCTTATCCTACTTTTTATTGAATGAACCATAGAAGGGAGAGAAGTTTCTTTGTTATCTATTTTAACAGAGAACATGAATAGATTTCCAAAAACTGTCTGTGCACATGCTCCATATTACTTAAGCCGCTTGAGTAAATTATAGTTAGAGTTAGAGCACATATCATTTTTAAGTTCTTTTGGTGTTAAATTTTATCAGCATGCCAAAAAGGAAGGATTTGAGTCTTAAAGATAAATTCGAAGTGTTGCAAAACTATGATAAACTTCCTAAATGTAGTCAATGTGAAACTTTAATTAAATTAGTGATTTCCCAAACTGCTCTTTTCAATATTCTTAAACAAAGGATAAATATTTCCGAGGAAATAAAAAAAGAATGGAAATCTGTCAAGAAAGCGTAAGTGTGAAGGAAAATCGGAGGAAATTAAAATGGCTCTGTTAGAATGGTTCAAAAATGCACGCGAAAGAAGAATTCTAATTTCCCGTGGAATTTTATTTCACAAAGCACAGGACTTTGCTAACTTATTTGGTGATTCTGATTTTAATGCTACAGATGGGTGGCTAACCGGATGGAAAGACTGCATTGTCTATCATAAATTGCATGGTGAAATGCAAGATGCTGATTTTAGCTCTGCCGCCGATTGGGTAAACGAAGTGTGGCCAACACTCATCAAAGACTATAAACCAGAGCAAATTTTCAACACAGGTGAAACAGGATTATTTTTCCGAGCACTTCCTGAACACACACTGCTGTTTAAAAATGAATCGACTGGTGGTTGTAAAAAAATAAAGGAAAGACTAACCATGCTGCTAACATGCAACATGACAGGAACTGTAAAAAAAACACTTTAGTGATAGGAAAGAGCCGGGCTCAAAAAACAGCCCGTCCGCCCGTCCTCGGCGGTCAAAAATTACCCGCGGACAATGAATTTCTCGAATACGACATCCGCGCGGATGGCCATTTTCCCGTTAATGTTCGTGATACATTTTCAATTTTGTTGTCGTACAAAAGTCCAGCCGTCCTCGGGGGCGAGTAAAATTTTTGAGTTTTTTCGAGCCCTGGGAAAGAGTTTAAAACCTCGATGTTTTAAAGGAGTAAAACACCTGCCCACCAGTTATGCCAACAGCTATAATGCATGGATGACATAAAGCATCTTCACAAAATAATTTCTTCTTGGATGGGACAAGGAGCTGAAAAATGAAAAGGTCGTCTTACTTTTACACTATTGTTCTGCACGCCCTGCTGATGAGGACTTGTGTTTGAAAAACATTAAATTAGTGTTTTTGAAACCCAAAACTACAGCTATTATTCAACCCCTTGATCAGGGAATCATAAGATCATTCAAGTTTCATTACAGAAAAATGGTTGTTCAAAAAATCATTAGTGACATAGACTGTGACAGCTCTTCGGAACTCTTAACTGCAAACAAACTATCGAAATCCCTTACGATTTTGGAATCAATGCATTTGATTCGTAACTCATGGGACATTGTTTCAACCCAAACAATATCAAATTGCTTTAAAAAGTGTGGATTAAGCACTGGTGATGGAGCTGATAACTGTTTCGAAGAAATGCTCAGCAATGAAGAAAATGAAATTGACGAGAATTTTTCACGTTAAGTAGCTATTGACGATAATGATTGCAAACATCAGGGGAAAATCTGATTCTGAAATTGTTACAGACATCAAAAATCGCAAATTTATTTCCAATCAAGAAATGGAGGAATCAGATTCAGAAGATGAAATAAACTCATCAGTGCCATCTTCAATGGAAGTCAGAAAAGCACTTAATATATTGCGCAAGCTTTAGAACAAAGAGGAGGAAATATCGAAAACTATAAAAACTTCTATAAACTATCAAATGATGTTGAAAAGTTAATTTTAAGTACTGCAACTCAAGCAACCATTGATCGGTTCTTTGCAAAAATTTTGCAAATTTAATCTTATGTAAGGTTTTACTTTATTAAAATAATTAAATTAGTTAAAATGAAGCATTAATGTTATCATTATTTCAGCTTTTAAAGTGTGTGCATTTAGAATATATCGTAAAAATGTGATTTCTTTTTTTATGTTGAATCGCCTCTTAATAAAATCAGCCACTTAATAAAATCAAAAGAGCATAAAACGAAAGTGATTTTAAGAAACGGTGAGCACTGTAGTACCTATTTACTATAGTACCAAATAGGGTCCGGTTATTGCAAAAAAAAATTTCAAGGAGTTTTTAAATTGTAAATACATACAAGACTGTGCTCACCACTGTAAAATTATAATAAAAAAAGTAAATTAATTTATTAAATTTTCAAAAATAAACAGCAGTTGCTGATTCAAAATTAGAGATGCAACATACAAATATTTGGTATTTAGTCTATACTGCTGAGCGCAGAATATTCATTTCGAACGAATAATAGAAGAAGCCTCTGCCGAAGACAAAACTTAATTCGTTTACATTCATCTTTCTTGTTTTCCCCCCTGGGAAGGGTTTATTCGATTAACAAAACAATAATGAAGATAAACAATTTTGTGAAGGGTCCAATTAAAAGAAAAATTATTTTGTGAAGGGTCCGCTTTTATGAAAAGATATTTTGTGAAGGGTGTGTTAACGGACCCAAATTTCTTCTAAACAGACCCCTGTATCTACATTCTACATAATTTATGAAAGTAGCTATGAAGTAAAAATTTTATTAAAATTTAAGTTATTGTGATTATTTTCTGATATATGAAACTGAATTATTATAAACTAGCAGTTGCCTGCAGCTCCGCCCACATTATTATTTTCTCTGGTTGTAAGGTTTTATTTTGTTACAAAAAAGTATTTTTTCGCAGTAAATTGTAGTCTAACCTGTGTCAACTCTTTAGCTAGCTAGACCTCCAACTTTATCTGCGCACAAGAATACGCAGATTTGTTGCTCAGTTTTTATGTGAAAATGTTATAAACAGACCGACAATACACTACGGTTTTGTATACAAACTAATTTCAGCAATTATAATATTAGTAGCGGAGTACGAGTTTTATAGTGCACTATTTTATTCAATTTACACATTAATTTAAATTAGTTTGAATTTAATTAACAAATATATAAAATTAACATGTGTTTTTTTCTTAAGTTTTGCACACTACACTTCACTACAGTTAGAAATTTTAATCTTTCACAGTGAGTAGCACTATACCAGCTGTCAAAAACACATTTGAAGTTGATGAATTTACAAAAAATTAATATCAGGTAAGCAGGGGGTCTACCCAAAATTGAAAAACATGGCAAGGGATCTACGAGACAAAAAAGTTCAGGAACCACTGATTTAGAGTATGATCGGTAGAAGCAATCATTCCATTATGATAACCAATGCATAAAATTTCCACAGATGCATAATCTATGGCTCCTAAGCCAAAAAAGGACACAATTATTATTAAAAGTGAATTATAGTCTAGAATCACGAGTGATGTGTAAAGAGGGAGCAACAGCATTAGGTATTTAGTCAAAGGAGGCATTCAATCTATTATTTAAACTTTAAATTCAATACTAGATAGCTTGTATTATTTTTCTCAAAAATTATCTCTTGTAAATTCACCTATAGGTAAATTTTTGGGTTAAAAAGAATACTATACAAATAAAATATAACATAATACATCTAATAAGAATAAAATAAGATAAAATAAGAATTCCAAACGAACTTAATAATGAAGTTTTAGGTATAAATATTATTTCCATTTAAAAATATTTTGCTGAAAATAATAAATTTTTAACAAATAATAATAAAAATTTTTTGCATATCAATTTTTCTCCAAATTGAATAGTTTTTTTTTTCCTATTGCCTACACTTCTCTTTTAAAGGCATCTAATAGAGAAGCTTGCCCAGGACAACCACATACCTATACACACCACTGGGATACATTATTATTGTGAAACATGTGGTTAGATAAGTTCTTATGTTTTGATTAAACAGAATCCTACATTTCAGCAAAAATTTCCTAAAAGTATTTAATATTTTTAAAATTAAAAAAGTCAGTTAAACAATTCACAAATAAAATAAAAATGTCATAACTTTTTATTATTTATTTTAAAAAGAAACTAATGTTTTTTTTAACACTAATAAAGGCTGAAGGCCCAAATATAGTCATAAATGAAGAAAAAAATAAAAGAATGCTTGAAAAGTTATATTCTTACCATTATCTACTACTTCTGATGAAAAATCTATATAATAATGACCAGATGAAGAAAGATTTTGTGCACAAGATGAAGGAAAAGTCACTATACAAAAAATGGGCAGCCACAATAAAATGTGGCAACATAATAGTTGCCGAATTCGGAAAGTACTCAAGCTTCTTAATCGAACCTTGAACCACATGCTTGAAAAAAATATCTTCAAGCGTTACGATACTTTAACAATTTTGAGCAAATACCATCTGTTTTAATTTGGAAGAGAGGCATGATCTGAAAAAAATATATAGTCTAGCATCAAAATATAATCTAGTAATGTAAAAAAAAAAATGACAAATACATTCAAAATTGTTTATTAGAAACCAATATTTAAATATAAAAAAGCTTATATAATATTTCATTACTACATGCATAACTTAAATATAAGGAGTAATTTTTAATAAGCTTCTTAAAAGTACTTTTACTACAAACATCAGAAGAGAAAAAAACAAACATAAAACAATTCAAAAGGGTTTTAATACATCCATTTCAGTTGAATTTTCTCAAATATTATGTAAATAAATGGTCGTTCATAAGTTACGTGACAGTTGTTTTTTAATTTTTTTGTCCCGTTCCTCCCTTTTGTCATAAAATGTCCCCTTTCCCCCAATTCCTAGTCATATGTCCTGCCATATTATACAAACAAATACTAGCACTGCAGAAACTAAACACTGAATACCAATATTTCATAACTTTAACAATGAATTTTAATGAGTGAATACAGATTTGAAATTGCTAACAGTGTCAAGCATTTAGGTTCTGAAACTAACACAATGAATGACGCAATACCAGAGATTCGAAACAGAGACACAGCCGCTAACAGAAGTCTCTTTGGCCAGCAGAAATATTTGAAATCTTATTTCATTAGCTGAAAAACAAAACGTCTACTTTACAAAATATTGATCTTTACATATGCCTGTGAAACATGGACAATAGCCGAGAAAGAGAAAGGGAGGCTCGATAGATTTGAAAGAAAAATATTGAGAAGTAGTTGAGTATTCATTAAGTATTTATTGTATTGGAGGAATGAAGTGTGACAATTATTGTTGAAGAACAAATTTGAAAATCTATAACTATTTGAAAAACCAGTTATCATCAAATTTATTGCTATACATAAGATACCTAATAAGATTAGATGACGATTAAGTCACTAAGATCTTCTTGGGAAAACCATCTGATTCCCAAAAAATGGAAGACCAAAACTTAGGTGGATTAACTGTCTAGATAAAATCCTTAAAAACCATCAGAATGATAACTGGAAAACCTTGGCAAAGAACAGGACAGCCTGGAATGAAATTCTGAGGAAGACCAGGGCCCCCGGGGCTGACATGCTAATGAAACAGAAGAGCTACAAAAAATATGCTGCAGTGTTTTAATGACATTTAAGAGCATAACAATATGCTGATTTGAAATGTTTCAATTTCAACTTATGTGTGATGTCAGACTTCAGGCCACCCTTTTCGTAGAGCTGGAGCGGGAGTCGGAGTACTCTGGAACTCAAAATTTTCTCATGCTCTAGAACTCTGGCAATTTCATTAGCTAAGTTGCTGTTAAATAGACTGTTCATAATATTAAAATACATTTATAATGATTTAAGTTCAAATATAAAAGAGAATTTGAAAAATTCAATTCTTTTCTTAAGAATGAACAAATAACTCAACTATGAATTAAATTAAATTTATAATTTCTGTGAGAGCTGTCAATATTATTGTTATATTTCTTAATGTTCCTTTTTATACTTAAAATTTCAAATTAAAATCTGAAACTCAAAAGTGCATAAATATATAGTAAAAGTTAAATTGCCAAAGCATTAGTGGAGCCCAAGATATAGGGTATTATCTGAAGCCGGAGTATGGAAAATTCTTTGACTCTGGGTTCCGGGTACCCCTTGTCACAATTTTAAGAACCCTCTTCTACAGGGTAATATTATTTATGGATGGCCCCTAAACAATGTGGTGTTCCTAAGATGTGTTTCCATGAATCAGACAACCAATTAAAACCACTGAAATGTAGGGAATAAGAAATTAGGGGCAGTAGTTGCAATAGCTAACAGAAGATGCTATTCTAGTTCATTTTACATTTATTTTAGATAATTTTAGCTGACCTGGTTTATAATAAGAAAATTGCCTTGGCTGTAAACGAGTTCGGCAGTATTATTATTATAGAAGAATAAATCAGAAATTTATTGGTTGAATAGAATAAACAAAATTAAAATAAATAAAACACTCAGTAAATTAATAACATATAAAATAAACTACTGTTTTAACATAAAAGTTGGAACAACTATAACAGTAATATTCCTCTACTGAAACCAAAAAAAGAATAATTTTTTTTCTTCTTTACATAATTAAGAACAATACACATTTTAAAATTCTAGTATTACACTGATTAAAAAAAAACTATTAACAAGTGACAGGAAAAAGTTTTTAAAATTTTCTGAAAACTTTTATTTGTACAAACACACACAGTCAAACTAGTTAATAGCAAGAACATAAGAACCAAGACTATTTGATCGTTAATACAGAGTTAGCCAAAAACATCAAAATAAATACTATTTAAAATTAATTACTTTTATTTTATTATTATTTAGACTGAGAGAAAAAAACATGTGAGATTTGTTTCTAGTTTCCTACAGTACCCTTCTTTTGGAATTCTTTTATGAGCAAAGCCCATCTCCTTAAAAGTATTATTTCTAACAAAATCAACACTAAATTTAGCACAAAAGTATTTTATTTAACATGCCATGTTTTCTTTTTCATAAGTAATTTTTCTAGTATGAATATATTGATATCTACTTGCACCAACTCAATGATATAGCATTATAACAGAGTTCTGTAGTTTAAATAATTGCCTCTAACAAGACATTATTTCTGTACAGATATATAAGTGGCTATTTTTTTTCTTACATTTTTAAAAAAATACTAAATAATGACATTGAAATTATATACAATAGTAATTCATTCCAGGAAATAAGAGGTAAACAATAACAGTATTAAATTCTAACACTTAAAATAAAAAAATACTAACACTTGAAATTAATTACTTAAAGAGTAATTTTTATTATGCCTTCTAACTTAATTTATTTATAAATATATTGTTTAACAACAAGAATTAAGCAAAAAATTTACTTAAATAACATCCAAAATAACTTTCGTGAAAAACTTCTGACACCTGAACTCTTTACTCACAAAGATTCACATATTCACTTAAAAATAATTAACCTTACAAGTATAAGCAGGCTATTGAAAAAAAAATACAAAAGAGTCACCAGCCTTATCACTGAAATCAAGTTCAGAAAATGAATTTAATAGATGAGCGAAAGTTTGTTTATAAAATTCATTTTTTAACAAGTCACCAACTTAAGCATTGAAATCAAATTTTCTGCAATGAATTTAATGGACTAGAATAATAATTTTTATAAAAAAATTGTTAAAAAATATATAAATATAACAATTTATTAAAAAAAAAATGAAACTACACCTTAGTCTTATAACTACTATGCACCTAATTACGTTTTTGAGCGATTTCATAGAACACGGGTAGAATGCAAAATCAAAATGTAAATCAACTACAATAATTTGTTATAAAATGATTTAAATAAATTTAACAATAAACAAGTAAACATTTCGGACTTCCGTCAAGTCAACAAAAACACTGACCGTTTGCAGACACTCTTTATGCGGTCGGAGTTGCAAAGAGTTCACTGAAATATAATATAAATAAATGATGCAGCAGTAGCCGAGTAGTCAGGGAACGCTTGCAAGCTCCATACCGCCCATATTTTCGGGTTCCTGTTTCCGATGTATTTTAAAGCCATTTGGCTCATAACGTGATCATTGTGTTTTGAGATTCTTGCGAACGCTGATTACTTATTACTTGTGTTTACAATACTAACAATACTTGTGTTTACAATGCTAAAGGTGCTAACACTAACGTAAGAATGTGCACAGTCTGCAACAAGAACAAAAGGAAAGAGACCAAATCAGGACTGCCAAAAAAGCAAGTTATTTTCAATCAAAGTCGAGTTATTTATAATCAAAATCTAGCAACCATGTCACCTTTTTTAACAATATATCTGCAAATAACTAATATAAAACAAATTTTCACTTCAAACTCACCAGAATTACTTATAATAATATTACTATCTTATGAAATACGGCAGATTTAAGCTCAAAAATTATCTAATTTACTTCTTTTATTGAGAACAAAATTATCAGTTTGAAAATATCGCCTCACAGAATAAGCTGTAGTAAGCAGTTGCAAACTTTCTGGCCGGAACTAGAACAGGTATGGAGCTCTTGAAAACATCATCCAAATTCAAACATCTGCGCTTTATCTTCAAAATGTAAATGGCTCTTTATTTTGAGAACCTTAGGTGAAATAATTAAAAGGTAGATAGTAATCGTGCTTGCTACAAGATTATTTTTCCTTTTTTACATGATTTGTGATTAAGGGTTAAAAAGTTTTCGACGATTTATTTAAGGTAAATTCTCACTGATCTGATCTCGCAATGTGCAATTCAATAAGAAAGAGAGAACAACTGAGTTTTCCACGCTAGAGGATGGCTGGTTTTGGGTTTTTCCAGGGACGCACGTTTTCCAGGGTAACCCTACCATGAGGGTTACCGGGAAAGGAATGAAGATTTCTTGGAATCAGACATTTCAAGATAACAGGGCGTGGCTAAAATTTAACCAATCATACAATTTACTTAAGATTTTCTTTTTAAATTTGGCAGTATTAGCATAGGTAAAACGAAACGAGATTCTGCTATTTAGATAATATTTTTGACGATTTATTGTTTTCTTTTTATAATGTTTTATGTTTTCATTAAACGAAAAAAACATAAACTGCGAATACTTTGAAATATTATTTAATTTATTGTACATATAATTTTATTAATTAAAAACTTTCATATTTATCATGTATAATTCATAGAATAAAACCATTTTTTCATAATAAATACTTCTGATACATCCTTTAATAGGTTTCACTATTTGTTTTAAATATTTTTTAAAAAGTACAACTCTTAAAATAATGATCATATTTTAAAGAATTAAGATTCAAAATTTCGTGCCTGAGTACTGCATGTAGATAGATTACTAATTATACTAGTTTTTAAATCAAAACTGATTGCCAGAAAGAAATGAAATTTTATCAGACAAAAAATTAACGTTTACCTATCGGTCTCTTATTAACTAATTAACTTAATTTCAGAAAAGTTCATTAGCTTTCAATTAAATTTGTAACAATATGAATGACTAAAGTTACTACTTTGCTTATTACTTTGGTTTATTCCTTACATTATTAAAGTGACTGTTTTAACCTTTTTTTTCGTGATTTGTAAAATCATTTCACGTTTGAAATACATAAAAATTATAGTTCAAGGAACTACTTTCACAGCTTTTATAGTATACTTTTTAATGGAAGAATGAGAATAAAAAATTTCAAAATGAGTAAAAGAAGAAATAAGTACATATTTCATAAATATTTTTCGAAGCATTTTTATTCTATTTTCTTTTCCCATTATTCTTTTCTGTATTTCTTATTATAAATAAATTATTTACTTTATAATACATTATGCCTGTAACAAATTCTTTTAAATTTGTTGCTATCTGTATATAGTATAAAGAACCATCGTTCGGAATGTAGTTGAATACTGTTGAATTAAAAGTTCATTGAAAGAAAATTAAAAAAAGAAATGATTGGAACTTCAAAAAAAGGTATTGGTCAAGTAATATATCCCAGGTAATATAACATGAAAATAGTAACAATTATCATATAATGAGAGCATATATATATTTAGTTTGCCGTAATTTCTTAGTTAACTCTGAAAGTATCTTTTCGTTCACACATACTAATGACACAAAACATCTCTTAATTATCGTCTTGAAAATGGCTCGGGCACGTTTATCTTTTAGAAATTTTGAAATCTTGTTTTATGAAATAGAAAATAATTACGACATTCATCGGCGATATATCGTATTTAGTTCTCAAAAATTCACCATTCCCTCCAAGAATGAGGATTCCGGACACTTGACACCCGCTGGAAAGAAAACCGATTGAGATTCTTGCCAAGAAACAGTTTCCAGGGGGCTCATGGTGAGGAAAAAGAATTTTCTGCTTTACGTGACGTCAGTCCCTCATGGAACTTTCTTCCCGGTAGCTCACGATAGGGTCCCTGATTGAAGACGAAAAAATTGCTTAAGCAATTTAGTAGTTTCCATTAAATTATTTATGATAGTAATAACTTGGAAATAGTATTACCTAAATAATAATATCAACTATATTATAAATAGTATCAACAAGAAAAATAAGGGGTACCTGACAATTACCCGGAAACCAACCAGATTTTCATTACCCGGACTTATTAAAATTGAATTACTGGGTATCCAGACTCGTCGGTTTTAGAATTAAGACCTGGTATCGAAAACCTGGCCAATTTTACAGGTATCTACTACCGTGTAACAAAGCAATCATTGTTGTAGTTTATTTATGTTGTGCTAGAGCTGCACGATGGGCTATTGGCGACAGTCTGGGAAGCATTCCTGAGGATTGATCTTCTGAAGAGGGAGTGGCATCCCAGCTTCTGTAGTCCGACGGCCTTCGTGTGAAATCGAGCACTTTACGGTAGAATAGTTTAACGAGGAACAAAGTCGCACACCCTCTGTCCCTTCGTAGACTGATCCAAGTAGCAGGGTTTGTTGATTTAAATCAGCTTAATTTAAGTTGACTATTTTTTTTTATATATATTGATTTTAAAAGTTAAAAAACAGTGTTTCAATTATTGATACTTTTATTTTTTTCTTATCTAAGTTTTAAAATTTATTTTAAATAAATTGCTATAATTAATTTTAGTTAACGAAATTACTTTCTTTCTTGATGTGTGCTAAATTCCAACACATTTGAAATTACATTTTTAAAAATCTATTGATTCTTGAGATTGAAAGTACAGATTAAAGTAAACATTTAACCCTTTCGCGCCGACTGTCACAAATACGTGCCAGCAGTAAAACCGTATCAACCGGGGTAAAAGATAAAACTGGTAATCAAAGTAATTCTTTAGCAGTTTATTTGTGGGAGGAGTTATAATTGTTTGATTTATTTAATTCACCATTACTTTGTTCAAAATAAAACTATTTAATTATACTTTGAACTATCATCAGAGATGCCAACTTGCTCCGGACAGCAAATATATATTTTAAAGTGGTAGTTTATCAATTGTGANACCTGTGAGCAGTAGTTGCAGAAATTTGAATATTTTATGTTTAACTAGGACTACATTTTTAAACACAATCTGTTACATTTATTTTGTCATTTTAAAAATCAAGAGGGAAAAAAAGAAATCACAATTTTAAATTAAAATTATGGTTTGCTAATTGAAACTTTGCTTTAATAGTTAAAGTACAGGGGTCTATCCAAGTCAAATTTACCTTCACAAATTCAACTTTAGGAAAAACAGTAGAATAATTTCACAAAATATTTTTTCTTAAAATTTCATTTTTGTGTCTCGTAGAAACGATAAATCCATATTTTTGAAATTTTTTTGTGTTGAATTTTTAATATAATTTTTTATTTTCACAAATTATATCTAAATTTCACAAAATAGGTGCCTATCAAAAAAACCTAAACAGACCCCTGATGTACTTTTTAAATTCTCTATTTCATCTAGTCTTTAAATTTCAATCATGCATTTAAAGCTATGTATTATAACGAAAAATTATTTTAGTAAGTTAGAGCTCCTAAAATATTGTTATAATATAGTTTTAATGTTAATTTAATTCTGACTAAACATTTATAAAGTATTTTTAATCGTAAATTAAATTTCTTACAGTGTATTTGAATAAAAATCAAAAAAATCCGATTTAAATCAAAAAAATCTATTTTTTATTAAAAAAAATTACGAACCCTGCCAAGTAGTCACCCACCCGTACACAGTAATGCTTGACTGCTGTGTTCTATTGGGGATCATGTCTTAACAATTAGTCCATTTCGAGACTCGCATAACAATCATATTCAAATTCATAGTAACAAAGAATCAAATGAACACTCTAGAGGTGGGCCAAGGACATTATTTACATCCTCGTAAAAATAAACCTACAAATATATTTTATTATTAACTACATTATAAGTATTATTTTTTTTAAGTTTATTAAAACCACACGAAGCAATCGTTATTATGTTACCGTTTCTTATGATGGAGTGTGCATAAATTCTAAATAGGAATGAAGTACAACCTATATTTCTGAACAATAATTTAATTTTTCTTATAATGCTGTTGAAAAACATTCTTTTATGATTTTTTTTTAATGGCAGGCACTGAATTTTTTACATTTTCACCTAGGAAGATGCCGGAAGTGTTGCTCAATTAACATTACCCAGTGGGCACCTCTGAAGTCACGGAAGCGAGCAACATTACCCGTCCCACAGATACCCGTTTTATAGGATGGGCCACATTCACACAATAGAGAACAACACACAGAGCAAAACATCCATACCTTGAGCGGGATTCGAACACGCAGCCACTGGCTTCACAGTCAGGCACGCTGACCCCTCGGCCGGCTCTTTCATGTTTCTGAACTACCTGTAACAAACTGGCAAAAAAATAATTGCTACTGATAATGATGAAATGAACAACTTCTTATGAAACATTTACTCATATATACTTAATCCAACAGTAAGAAAAATACT